CAGGTGGGGTACGGGCGTGGTGATGTACGAGATGGCGTGCGGGCGCCTTCCGTTCTACAACCGCGACCACGACGTGTTGTTCTCGCTGATCCTGAGCGAGGAGGTGAGTACGGGCCGGCCGCGGGGGCGCGTGTCGTGGCGGACGATACAATGATGTCGTGGTGCAGGTTCGGTTCCCGCGCGCGCTGTCTGCGTCGTGCCGCGCCCTGCTGGCGGGCCTGCTGACGAAGGAGCCCGCCAATAGACTGGGCGCGGGTCCGGACGACGCGCACGAGATCATGAACCACCCGTTCTTCGCGTCCGTGAACTGGGCCGACCTGGTGGCCAAGAAAATCCCGCCGCCCTTCAAGCCGCAGGTGGAGTCTGAGACGGACACTCGCTACTTCGACTCGGAGTTCACGGGCGAGTCCGTGGAGCTGACGCCGCCCGAGAACGATTCCAGTCTGGCGCGCATACAAGAGGAACAGTTCCCGCAGTTCTCGTACCAGGTCAGTGCTCAGTGCGCCCCCAGCGACTACTTCGCGCTAATGTCTCGCCCACAAACACAACACTACACTGTTGTTGGATCTTCTTTGTAAAAATCGGTGGATGTCCGATATCAGGATCCAACCGAATAGATATTTTCACCACTGTTTGATTAATTGATCGATTGTCAATCAGGACACGCCACCTAGATACCCCGGCAATCTTTCTAATAATAAATAAATATTTATTCATAATAACAGTGGCCAACATAGGTTTGTTTGTACATACATACATACAACATAGTGACTGCACGGTTGGCGCGGTGGTTGGGCAACGAACTGCCGCGCAGTCTGGGTGTCATGTGTATGTGAACTTGTATCTTTGTAAACGCACCCACGACACAGGAGAAAGTCCTAATTTGGGGCAACGTTTTTTTTTTAAAACAAAAAAATAACAAACACAGTTTGAATTAGGTATTGTTTGTACATAATAATGTTATAGCTCGGTCATTTGATAGATTTGCATGGAATTTTATTGCAATCTTGGATACGTATCGCGACTTTCGCCGTCCGAAATTTCGCCTGCATTACATGCGATGCGATTTTGCGCATCCATTACAAGCCTTCTCGTTTCAAAATAACGGCTACGACATATCGAACGGCGCCCAAGACGAAATCGCAATCTGCTATCAGCCACGTGTTGGGGACAGGGTCACAGGACATTATGCCAAGTTTGGAAAGTGTGCATCATCATATTTTACTAGACTATAAATAATGCTCCACTTGCTCTATCTCAACGCCAAGATTACTTATTTGACAAAAAATCTGTCTAGATATGTACATATATATCTATATCCATATTGATATAGATATAAGTTATAAGAATATTGTGTGTCGGTTTTTTTTTTCTTTGTATCTGATGGGCCGACGTTTGGCCACTATCTCGTCTGGTGGTAAGCAATGATGTGGTCTACGAATACGATGGAGCACGTCGTCCCATCGTTTAATATTATACTAAACGTTTTGTGTCAGTTCACGAAAATCGACACAAAAATTTACAGTGAACTGTTCACTTCAATGCACTTTCCCGTCAAGTAGTACGAATCGTGTCACCTATAGTCTATCTATTTAGGTAATTAACTAAGGTTAAAAAAAAACACGTGACACAGATATTTAACCTTTTATTACTTCAAATATTTGTTGTGTTTTAATTTAAACTAAATTCACTTTAAAATCGTTGATTTTTCACACACACATACGAGCACTAATGCCTAAATCGTACAAGAGTCTATTGCTAGATGCTTTTGTGAAAGTGGGTCTATTTCATTATCATGTTTAAATAGAAACTATTCTGAATCTGATGTACGCATATCTTTCTTGTACGGATATGTGTCTTTGGGCCAAGTTTCTTCAATATATTTGAACACATTAATTACAAACGATAAAATAACCTAAACTTAAATAACTAAATAAAAAAAACAAAACAAAGAAGTAAGATAAATTCAACAAGATGGGAACGCGAGCGCAAACGTCGAGCGAGCTGTCAATGGCGCCTGATTAACCGACTAAACGTAATACACGTTACTTTCGTTGTCGTGCTACATCTTATTTGTACTCTTTAATTTGATAACATTATTTATACATTATTTATACATTATTTATACATTATACAGGTTTTGGATACCTGGATTAGAGACTGACAACAATATAATTAAAATCGATGCACAATATTACGACCTTACAGGCTAATATAGGTACTTGACATTCATTAAATTTGCAGCTATCATTGTTAGACATGTTTTTCTATTTTATTGCATTATAGTAGTAAGTATAATATATGTATAATAAAGTAAGTAGTGCATATGAAATTATGAGTAAGATGGCGCATTATGAGCAATATATCATACAGTGTAAACGAGCTTTATGGTGGTTATAGTAGCCACCAAAAAGTCAGTGTATTTCTAAAATAATTCGTTTCATTTGGTGCCCCTGTTGGAGATTTCAATGGTAAGATAATTCAATCTTACCAAATACCAAACGTCATTCACAAAAATTAAGAGATCCAAAGCGACTGTAACTGTTAACATTAATTGTGTGCTTTTACATGGCGGCGAGTATTGCAATAAAATAATATCTATCGGCTAACACGTCCGTTCATTGATGCTATCTTTACAATACTGAATACAATACTGATGTGCTGTAGGCACAATTGTCAATATTAAATAGCTACATTTAGATTACGCCGAGAAGCTGATACAGTGAATGTTTTTGCGCAGGATATCTGCTCCTCCGCGCACTCCGCACTCTCGCACCACTCCGCGCTCGCTGACAAGCGCCAGTAGCGCGGGCCCCGCGGCCCCCGCGGACCCGTTGGGCCCCACGGACCCGGTGGGCCCCGCGGCCCGGCGGGCCCCGCAGCCTCGAGGGTCCCTGTGCGGCCCCGCAGTGCTCCACGTCGTGCTCTTCACTTCATAGATACGGATTCAAATAATCGTTTTTATATTTGCTTCTCTGAGATAAAAAGATTCCTATATATGTGACCGTGCTGAGATCTGCTATAGTAAGGCTACTTTCAGGATTTACATCAAAACTCATCGCTCACTGATACCATTGTTCACTCTCTTTGGTATTAAGATATTGGAACTATGTGTAATTATAATATAGAATGTTACTGTTACAGTTAATATTAAAATAATTTTGGGATTTTGATGATAACTGAGATTGCATCACAACCACGTAATGGTTGACGGCATCATTGCATGGAGTGCACCATTCGATAATGTATGTTTTATCCAAGAGTCTATTTTTGTCTAACTCTGCTGACTGTTTCTAAGACAAATTCCAATCGAAATGCACAAACTTAATATTTTGTAACAATTAAATATTTTGTAGTTAGCTTCACAATTGCTGCATAAAAATGAGTTGTTTCTCACAGTATATGAATAATATTGTCTGTCAATTAAATTACTTACCTGACGGATGGATTGTAGGTGCAATAATTATCTTAGTTAATGTATTGAAATGATGCAGTGTCAGCTAACGTCACGCTCAGCCCTGAAGTTCATTTAGCAACTTACTTCACTTAGTTCCGGATGTGATCTTCCTTGGTCTGTTTATCTAGATTTGCTAAATCCAGCCATTATAAAATAATAAATATAGAAATTGCTCCAAACCGAGTGCAGGATGTGGTGTGGCCATACAGCCGTATGTCGCAGCTCGCAGTCCGCGGCGAGCCAGCACGAGTCGGACCAGTCCCTCTACACTGGACGGACGTAATGTCATTTGTCGCTGACTGCCTGTTCACTACAAACTTCGTATTTGTTTAACAATATTTCATATTTGCATTTGCTTCCTTGTATTTTATCATAATCACGACTCGATCACTGTCTGTGGTCGTAGCAGTTCGGAGCTTGTTATTTCAGGAGGTATAAATAAAACATTAGATTACAGTATTAATATTGTATTCTGTGAAAACAATACAAATAGCTGAAAAATTCGAACTGTCGTTGGTTTCTTGACAAATAATTAGCTAGAGACAGACGCAAGAGCAAGAGAAGTCCGCGCAGTGAGCCGGCCGTGGCTCGAGGCAGACTCGCCGCACCGGGGGCACATTGTATTTCCTTTTGTATATATTATTAAAGTTAGGATTAAAGCGACCGAGTCGTTTCATTTCCTCCTCAACCCTCAGTCCACCGCTACCCCCGAGTACACTACACTTATATAATAAAACAATACCTCAGATAAACTTTAAAAACGTTAACAACCAATAACTACATGAAACAGGCGTTTCGGACGGTCGAGTCGGCGCACGTCCTGATAGTGGCGTGCAGGGTGCGACGTGCCCAACGACATGACTCGATTAGATATGTTGTATTATAGTCTGACCGACGAACGCTGCCCGTCACCTACTCGCTGCGTACGACATCGACTATGGACTCCTTACGAAAGGAGCCAGTCCAGCCAGGTCAGCTTTCGTAGGTCAAAGTAGAGATCAGTACGAGGCTGCGAGGTCAACAACGCGCGACGCCTTACACCATTTTTTTTATAAATACATAATATATTGTAGCGTAGGTATAAAAGTGAACAAGAGAAGCCGTCTCATTGGTCGCGGCGGCGTGTGCCATACCTAGTTTATGTAACAAAGGTTAACATAGGAGCCAGGGACGGTGCCCTTTTGGAGTGTTCAAGTACAGACGATTTATAGCAATTATATAAAAATAGTTGGTCATCAGTGTCATATTTAATTTTATTTCGTGATGTGATTATTATTAATAGTATAATATATTAATGAATAAAGTTCGCATTTTTACACATTTCCTAGCTAAGCCCGTTTTGTGGGTAGTAGGTAGGTAGTAGTGGCAGTAATGAGTAGAGATCTGCGCGGTGAGGGACGTGTGACAACTGACAGCGAGGAATGACAGGCGACCGTGGAGGCCGCGGCCGCGGCAGTGGTCCGGTTCGCAAATTGAGTGACATTTTAGTGTCGGTGTACTACATTGGGAAGGGTTTTTTTACATTAGTAATAAGAATAAGTTTATTAAGGGTACAAATGTTATACGCTTTCATTAACATAACAATTTTATCAACAAATTGAAATATTACTTTGAGGTACCCTCGGCAAGAAAATGTATAGGGAAGACCTGTGGCGACGCACATTGAAGATTCGACGACAAATCGACAGATGACGTCATAAATCCTACATAGCACGAACACAGTAGGTATATTTATTATAATAGGAAAGCCCAACATGCCTTGTCGGAGGATCCCCCCTTTTCCGATCTGTTTTTCTTAATTTCTTATGAACAGGCGTGCTCCATCATAGGCTGTGTCACAGTTTACCATCAGGCGAGATAGAGGTGATAAAAACATTTGCAGTTCAGAAGATCATTCTTAGTAGATACTTCGGGAGAGAGTTTTCCTCAAGTTCATCATTGTGGGTGTATTGAAGCCGATCATTGAGTAAGATTTTTCGTGACCCATTATAGGTAAGTAATTTGTTGGTGGATTATCTGACGTCAAGTCAAGGCTACTACTAGTACATTTAGTCTGCAGGTGAGAACGTAAACATTGACTCAGTACAAATACGGTTACTATTATTATTATTATACTAAATTGGGTTATAATTTTTAACCAAGCCATATCATGTTTTTATTAGTACCTAAGTGGGAAACATGGGGTTACATGAAAGTTATCCGGGAGTTTTGAAAATCTTTGATGTGCTCTTTTCGATTTCCTTGCGCCTTTATACGTGCGCCTCTTGCGCCGCCATCTTGGAAAAATGGGGTCCTAACACAGTTTTTCTACAATATCTCTTTTCCTGTGCATTATACGAGAAAACTATTAACTACAAAATTAAAGTAGCTTGTTTGTAATCAAGTGTAGTTTTTCCGCCAGAACATCGCAAAGTAAATTTTTATGAGTAAAGTAGGGAAAAAAATTTTTCCACGCCACGTGAAAATAGAGAAAGCGGTGTGTTTTTTATAGTGATGTCTTTTAGGTCTAAGGCTCATGTGATTGTGGTACATACTTTAGGCATTTGGCAAAATCCGGCCCTTAGCTGTTTCTGATGAACTGCACATAGGTAATTTCATCGTGGGCATCCATCGATATGTCACAGTCGTTATTTTTGAACGAAAATGCTTGTAATGAATATGCAGAAGTGCAACGCAGATAAACCAGCCGAAATTTTGATCTGCGAAGTCTCGAAGGTACTCTAGGGTCCAATGAAACCCCGAGCGGCGCACAAAGATGCGAAATGGAAATCGAAAAGAGCACATCAAAATCGACAAAATTGTCGACTTTCAAAACTCCCGAAAAACATTCCACTTCAACAACCTAATTACTGATCTATATAATATATTTCATAAAAATATGAGCAGTGGTAGGTATACCTACTATGTATAATAAAATAAATAACACGCGCGATCTCCTGATGCCCCAGCCGTCAGGTGTTTCAATTGGTTTATAGCATTCCCCTTTATTTGTTTAATTTTCATCATCTTTTTGTATCCGTTTAGTAGATACAGTAACCAAATGTTAACTACCATTTATCATTTACAAAACTGAACACTGCACTGTGGCCGTAGCCGCGTTGGTCTCACAGGTCGTACTGGCGCGCGGCGGAGTACGTTGCGACTTGCGAGCTATCGTAAGTGCGACGGGCGAGCTGAGGCCTTAGTACGAGTTTGTCTTACGTTTAAAGTAATCGTAACGAGTACGCGTTCGGCGCTGTGATTGGTTGCTTCATTGGCGCCGGCCAATCAGAGTGCCAAACGCGTACTCGTTTCGAATACTTTAAACGTAAATCAAACTCATACTAAGGCCTCTGTACACGTACCGCGGTTTTGGAGACCGCTGTTTTTACTCGCGGAGGTGGGGCTCGTACGTGCTGATTGACTAGCGAGCTAAACAGTTCAGTGTGAACCGCAAAAGAGCGATAAGTAAAGTTTGGGTTTGAAGAAGAAAACAAAACTCGCTGAAAACTCGGCTCGTCAGTGGTAATCGACACTGGTCTTGCGCAGCGTGCCGAGCAAGAGTACAACAAATAACCAGCTACGAGCCGGGCTCATTGGTTTTTAATACCGCGGTATTCCAGTGATCAAGGGCGAGCTTTATGTAGGTACTGACGAACTATACAACGGCGGTTTTACTCGCCCGTCGATGAACTTACAAGACGCAAATGCACGTGACTGCAATATTATGAATACGAGCGACCTAGGATTCCTTGAGAATAGGCATACCTGTAGGCTGTAGGTACATTCAATTTACAAATAGACAGTCTAGTCGTATAAAAATCAGGTCGAATAAGTAAATAAATATTTTTAGATTATCTAGATTTATTGAAATATACAGATTTAGGCCCGGTGGGCATCGTTGCGGCTCGGTACAGCTCGGGCGCTTTACGCCGGCTTCGAGCGGCTTAGGGCGCCTTTGAGCTCCGTCTGGCGACTTCGGCAGCCGTAAGCATGGCTAAGGATGCCGAGGTGGTCTTCGGGTAGCTCGCGTGGCATTTTCGGATCAGACACGTCGCAGAACAGACATTTCGATCACCGCCCTTCAAATCATTATCGTATCGTACTAGTAGACGCAAAATAACTTCGCAGTCCTGAACATAGGTTCTGCCAAATTCTGCGCATGTACATTCGTAAAGAAAACTATTATTGGCATTTTTTTCACCAAAATACTAATAAAAATGTCCTAATACCAAGTATAAATAAAATAAATATCAAAACAATTTGAGACTAAAAGCTACAAAAATACACTTATAAATAATCACTTAAAAAAACAAACTTAAAAACAACTAAACAAAAACACATAATTGTTTTCACGGAACGTTACGAGTGACTGCTCTGCGATGTTTCTGCAGCCAGAACTATTCTGAGGCTACCCAAAATCAGCTCAGACGCAGCTCTAAGGCGCCTAAAGCCGCCCGAAACCGGCGTAAAGCGCTCGAGCTTTACCGAGCCGCACCGATGCCCACCGATAGTGGGCGCCGGGCCTTAGTTGGCCGACCTAGGACTAGGAGTCTGACCCGTGCCTTCAATGCACAATAGGGATGTTGACTATATTTTGTTTCAATGTCCGCCTGGTAGTAATCTACTTTAAAACATCAGACACATACTTAAGGCTCTAAAATGCTTTCAAATATCGCGTGACGTCACGATTGACTACATCGGTGTGTGTTGAGCGGTGACGACGTAGCATCCTCTCTCCTTGTAATACGTTGTAACATTGTTGTAACATACATTTCCAGTTTTTTCATTAAGTGACTGGCGGACTAAATATATTTTTAATTTTCATACCCTGTCATCATCCCTATTCTATTAAAGCCACTCGGGTAAATATAATTACACGAACAAATAAATAATTTATTGAAACCTGAGTACTTATTATAGTTATTGAAATTACTTCACTATTATTATTTGTCACCTACGTTCATTAAGTTACGAGCAGGGGCGTCTTTACTAAAAGTGCATGGAGCTAGAACTTAAGGCTCTGTTCGGGGCACTTCGAGGGCGCCAAGAGACGCTCGCTACAAACCAGGTAAATGTATACTTGTGTAAGTACCAACGTGTACACATGTCAATACATTTCATTTAAAAAGTATATTGGTAGCTGTGGGTAGCCACATACTGAGCTAGCTAACTTACGTACGTAGCTACCTGCTACATACTTTTTGTGAAAAATAAACCTAATTGTTTAATTATCTCATATTTATCACTCCATCACCAGGCTAAATCTAAGTAAGCACCGACACATCATTCAAGATATCTAATTACTTACTTAGCTATATCTACCTACCTAATAAATTATGCTGTAGGTATGTAACAGTGAATAGCGTCCTCCATCAGCGGATCAACCAAGGAACGCTTGCTTGATTCTCACAGAGACGTTGGAAACTTGCATTGTTCAATGAATCTAAACACATCCACCCACTGTCCTGTCCTGTCCTGTCCTTGGTGAGATTTAACATTCCGAATAAAGACACTCATTCCAAATAAACCCTTAATTTATTTTATAACTTTTCCAGGTGAAATCAGTTTTGTCCCTAGTTTAATAACGGTTGTAGGTCGTAGGCAGTTAAAGTTAAGCATGTAAATTAGGTAGGTAGGTACCAAAAGCAAATTTTATGATTAGAATATTTGTCTTTACGAAC